ACTTTTTATTTTCTCAAAAACAAGTTATACTTTAGGTATTTTAATTACCACAACTATATAATTTCTTCCAATTTAATTTGCACTTTGAACTTTTAAAGCTGGCAAATCAAATATATATTGCATGTCCTAGATTAATGACACTTTACATTTCTAAGAAAAATACAAAACATAATCAATTAAGACTTCCATTCTGTCCTCTAGATTTTTTATGAGGCAAATTTAAACTTTATTTTTATAATTAAGCAAACTTCCACAAAAATTTTGCCACAGGAATTTGGAGGAAGTTTGTAGCCATTCAAATGCAAGTTACCACATTCCTTAGCTTACTGGGAGAGTGGTCTTCCTTATAGGATTGCCTTGTGTCTCTTTCCTTCCCCCACATCAAGCTTACTTTGGGAGAAGTTTCAACAGATCTGGCCACACATTTTTTCATGCTTAAAAGATAAAGACAGGTCTTAAATTTTTTCTTTCTTTTTTTCTTTCTGAAGTAATAACTAGCACCCAATTTGGCCAAGATCAGCATTTCCCTGCGAATTCTTTTATAATTTTTAAAGAAAACTTTAAGTAATCTCATTGCAGGAGAGCAGATAGCTTTGCCCTCTCCTGCCACCTTTGAATTTCTCCGCACCAGAGGCGGTTTCAGCAGTGGAGTCTCATTTCTTATTACAGATTTTAAATTCCAAATACAAACTAAGATTTTAATTTGAACAAGAAACCACATTCTTTAAGTTTACAAAACAAAAATCTATAATAAAGTTTACTTTAAATTTATAACCTAATTCTTCCCCATTAGCCTGGTTAAAAAGGACGTTCCCACCCTACTTACAGTTCGCGACTCTGCAGCTGGCCGTGGGCTTTGAGTGCGGTGAATTTCCCTCACCTTTTTTCTGGTGAATCTTCCACACCTTTTCTCGGTGTATTTTTCCTCCTTCGCTCTAGGCGAAAAATACCTTCTCCTCCAGAAGTCCCGCGTTGAAGGCACCAGATATAGGCTTCTCTTTCACGGCCCGCGTAGAAAGAGTTCCAATTCAGGGTTCAGCTTCTGGAGAAGGGCCGCACACAAATGAAAAGACTTGAAGAAATTCAATTTGGCGATTTGGGGGGCCAGGCGGTAGTCCAACTCTAGTGGGAGAACTACTACTGCTCTGGCCCTGCCATCCCCTTTTATTGAGGCTTTGGGGAAAACATCTTAAGCAACATAAACAGAAATTTACATGTAGCCCTTAGGCAGGAAATAACAGAAACACAGGACAAATAAGGTAGATTCTGCTTCAGCTAACAAAATCTCAACTAAAAGTTAGAGCAATTAAGGCTGTTGACCAGCCTTCCTGGCTTCCTGTCAACATCTCTTTTTCAGTGAAACTGATTTGGTTTCCAGCAGAGGTGGAGGCAAGAACGTAATTGTAATGAACCGAGAGAATATTTAATGAACAACTACTGCTCTTAATGAAGTGCAAGTACCTTTCAGGGTAGAATTATGCTTTGTTCACTCCTGTCAGTTAGGCAGAGAGCTTGAATTCTCCCTTACCCTGACTTTTCTTCTACCTAGACCTTCAGCAAATTGCATAGGCCTGCTCACATTAGAGAGGACAATCTGCTTTACTCAGTCTACTGACTCACATGTTGGCTTTTTCCAGAAACACCCTCAAAGACACACCCAGGATAATGTTTAAATATCTGGGCATCCAGTAGCCCAGTCATTTGACATATAAAATTAATCACCATAGAACCATGTGATTATTGATATTGCTTTCTTTAAACCCGCCATTTGGCTGTTTTTATTTTATTTGTTCACTAGTTCTTTGTTCTTTTTCCATTTTCTCTGCCTTCTTTGGATTAATTGGATTTTTCCCCCCCTGTGATTCCATTTATCTCCTTGCTTCGCATGTTAGCCATAACTCTTCATTGTATTTTCTTATTGGTTTCTTTAGGATTTACACAGTGGCCCTCAAACAGGGGCAGTTTTTCCTCCCCAGGGATTATTGGCAATATTTGCAGACATTTTTGACAAAACTGCACAAGTGCTACTAGCATCTAGTAGGTAGAGGCAAGGTTACTGCAAAAATCTTAAAATGCAAAGTCCAGTGACTCCACTCCTTGACCAGAAAGAGTTAATCCAACCCAAAATGTGAATAATGGTGCGGTTAAGAAATTCCAGTCTGTACTACACTTCTTCAACTTATTCTTTCAAGTAATATTATATCATTTCACATATAGTGTAAATACCTTACAACAGTTGTCCTGGCCTTTGTGGTGTTGTCCTACATTTTATTTCTCCATATGTTCTAAGCCCCACAATGAATTGTTTTTGCTTTAAGGAGTCAATTACTTTGAAATATCTTAAAATAAAAGTATTTTTTATTTACCACATATTTATAATCCCTGAATCTCTTCATTCTTCTATGTAGATCCAGATTTTTATCTCATATCATTTCTTTCTGCCTGAAGTACTTTCTTCAGCATTTCTAGTAGTGCAGAACTGCTGGTGATTAATTCTTTCCATTTATGTGTAGGAGCCTTTATTTTACCTTTGTCTCTGAAAGATATTTTGCTGGGCATACAATTGGAAGTTGATATGTTTTTGAGTCATAATATTTTAAAGTTTTTGCTCCACTGCCATTTGTTATGCACTGTTTTCAAAAACAATGAAAAATATTAATCTCATTGATGTCTTTTTCCCTCTGGCTAAAATTGTAAGTTTCTTTCCTTTACCACTGATTTTGAGAACTTTGAGTATAATGAGACTAAGTGTAGTTTTATTCATGTTTCTTATGTTTCAGGTTTTTGAAATTTTGGGATCTATTAGTGTATGTTCCCCTCCACTCTCTTCCCTCCCCACCCCCCCCCCCCCCCCACCCCCGCATCAAATTCTAAAAATATTCAGCTATTATTTCCCTCTCCTGTCTTCGCTCCTTTGTAGTCTCCAAAGGAGACTCACTGATGCACAGGGCATATGTTTTTTGTTTTTTCCCCCCTCCTCTTTGTTTTAATGCTTTGTTCTATTGCTTTATCTTAAAGTTCACTAATCTTTTCTTCTGGGATGTCTGATCTATTAATCTCATTCAGTGTATTTTTTTTAATCTCAAACATTTTCTTTTTCATCTCTAAAATTTTGACTTATTTCTTCTTTTTGTTTGTACCTGCTATGAATCTACTCAATATATCCAATCATTCTTTAGCTCTTTAAATATATGGAATACAGATATAAAAATATTTTAATGTTTAATATATCAGTTCTGTGTCCATTTTGATTAAATGATTTTGGTCCTCATTATAAAACATTTTTCCTGCTGCTTTGCATTACTCTCTTTTTTTTTTTTTTTGGAGTCTTATAATTGTGAATTTTGCTTTGTTGTGTATTAGATAGTTTTACATTATTGTACAATAAATGTTCTTGAGCTTTATTTTGGGGTGCAGTTAAGTAACATTCAAACAGTATGATTCTTTCCAGGCTTGCTTTTAAGGTTTATTAAGTGAGACCATGGTAGCATAATTTGGGAGTATAATTTTCCCCATTACTAAGTCAGTACCCTGATACCTTGTATTACAGCGTTTTGTTTCATTTATTTATTTATTTTTATCCTGGCTGGTGATAAACTGAACTATTCCTGGATTTATGTGGGCCCGGCAAGCTTTCCCTCTGAGTCTTTGAAGTGGTTCCTTCCCTGTTTTGTACATCTTCCTCAAATATGTGCCTTCTTCAGTATGTGGGAAAATGGGTTGTTAGCTAGTTGCTAAAGTAATCCAGAAAAACTCCTACTGTCAAACAATTGACTTTGATCAGAAGGGTAGAGGGAAATTTAATTTATGTCCTGTCTTTAAAAGAAATTAAATTGAATACAAGTGATGTAATTAATTTATTTTTTTTAACTTAAATTATATTGAAGAGTTTGGATTTTGTTATATTTTATTGTTTTCTATAGTCCATACTCTTTACATTGAAGTCATATATCTTTGTACTCCTCAGTTCACCACTTGTGATGTCACTTGAAAGGATTTCTATGTGTTAACATATAAAAATGATGATCTAGTGGAGAGCAGTGGGCTTTCATGTACAGTACTTAGATATCAATGTAGCATGTCATTATATTTATGGTTCTTGACTAGCATTTTGGAAGCATACATACTCAATTGTGTGGAATGCAAAGGCATATTGCAATTGTACTCATAAACTCATAATAGGTAGGTGGTAAAATATTTATTTTAACTCTAGAAATTGCATAGAAATCTTTGTTTAATAGGAGCCTATATTGACAAAGAAAGTACAATTGGAGCTTTTTCAGATTTTTAATAGCTTATTGTTGATTTTAGATACTTGCTTTTGACAAAGAAGACTGTACTCTACTTTTAGAATTAAAAATGATTTATCACTTCCATAATCTCACAAAATTAGTTGAAAGTGTGTTTTTATGTATTTATTTTTATTCCTAGACAATAAACTTAGGAAAATAAATTTGTCACTCAGCTAAAGAACCAAACTATTTCATTCCTAGATCTTATTACTTTTAGTCTATTATATTTTGAAGCTTCCTATTAATTTAAAAAGTTATAACAGAAAGCATATACTTTATAACACCTTTTTATAAGACATTTTGGGCATTTATTAAATATCTCATTAATTCTCAAAAATAGTAAAGGTAACTTAACAATAATGAGAACCACTTAAATCTCAGGAATATTTTTGTACTACCTGAAAAGCACACCTTTGAAATTAGCATGCTAGTGTTCTGTTTGGATTAGGCATGGTCTTGAGTGTATCTTTGATGAAATGAAGGCATTATGTTGAATAATCCTTAATATAAGTGTTATATGCAGCATTTGTAATAGATACCATTATTTAATATAATATATATAAATAATTATAGTGATCTACATTCTGTTTTACTTTAATTAATGTAATAGATATTTCTTTACCATTCAGTTTATTAGTAATCATTCTAATTATCTCTCTTATCTCCTCTTTATCCATCCGTCCCCATTACCCCTTTTTCCACTTACAGCTCTATGCTATCCCTTGGTTTCTTACCATGTTTACTCGTAAGTATCATTTTCCCTTTCCTTTTGCTATTGTGTTAGCTAAAGAATAATTCCATCCTTCTCCAGTATATTATAGTATATAATAGTAGTATCAGCAGATTTAATTACATAATCATTCATATGTATTTCTAATGTAATAGAGCCTGGTAGAAAATAATATTAATCTGACTGCTGAATATAAAAAAGTATTTTATTAAATTAAAACCTAGTTTACATATTGTGACATTCATATAATTTATTCCTTCTATTGAAAAAGCAATTAATATTAACTATAAGATTTACATTAAGTTTTGGAAGGCTACTTTTACAACCACATTAGGCTTAATTTTTTACAGATTCTCTAATAACAATTATCTTATTTCCTAAACTAGAATTCCTTTAGAAATTAAACAAATTATATAAATATGTAATGCTTTTACTAATTAAAAATATCAATGCAATGATCATTCTGCTTAAATATACATACATGATAAGTCTGTATGTATTGGCTTAGAAAATATTTACAGTATTAGTAAATGAAAAAAAAATTGCGAAAAATAGAAAATTGCTAATTGAGTTTTTAATGTGAATTTAATAAAGAAAGTATTTAGAGCACATAATAGAAATGAAACAATATTAAAGTTCAATTGGCTGAATAAACTTATGAGAATAATATAACTACCTAGAAAATTCTAGGAAGAAGTATATTGTATGGGACAACTACACCAACATTCATAATAAAGGTTAGAAAATGTCATGTTTTGACCAAGGAAGCAATAAATTTACAAAGCCAAACAAACATTTTATAAAACAGTTTGATAGTACATGTTCTTAATAATTTTTACCATAAGGTTATGGTCATATGTCTAGTAAAGCTGCTTGTTATTGTTTTAATTTTTATTTTGTTTTTTATTGTAAATAATTTTTTTTTGTTGTTATTGTATTTTGTCATTGTACAGATGTATTTCCACTGCACAAAATTTTTCACCTCTGGGATACCTTGCTACTTGGAAATTCCTCTTTCCCATTTTGTATCGGAGTAGCAATTCTTCAGCAGCTGCGGGACCGGCTTTTGGCCAATGGCTTTAATGAGTGCATTCTTCTCTTCTCTGATCTACCAGGTAATCTAGAAATAAATGGAATCACTAAATGAAATTTAATTATAAGATAATGAAACTTTCTTATGCCAATTTGCATAATCATTGCTTAGCCCTCAGAAGCTCTTCTGCTTGAGCCTCGTCATCGCTCAGGGGTCTTTAAACTATGGCCCGAGGGCCACATTCGGCCCACAGAGGAGTCTGATCCGGCCCGCCAGGTTTTTTGGGCAGTGAGCGCAGCCGAGGTGTTACAGTAGGAATTAGTAGTTCATATAGTCCGGCCCTCCAGCTCTCTGAGGGACCGTGATCTGGCCCCCACTTTAAAAAGTTTGAGGACCCCTGCCGGCAGAGTCTGTATAGTCTCTCCCTTGAAATACTGCCTCTTCCACGGGCCCAGCATTGTAGATACAAAACAGGGGCATTCCAGCTCACTCTGGTTTACTTTCATGTCGGTGATATCATCAAACGGGTACAAGAGCCGAGAGTAGTGCCCTGTTTTCCTTTTTGCTTAGGACAGACCTGTTTAACTTCCGCTGGTAGAGAGTAAATAAAGACCACTTGGAAGGTATTTGAGAATCTTTGTGTATACAAAGATGTAAATCACTTGAAACTTGCTTTCTCCTATTGATAGCGTCTTGCTAACAATTTGACAGATTTAGGAAAGGAAACAATTTCTTCTTGGGAGGGCCAGTCACAGTGTAGGGAAACTCCATCCATAATACAGGATAGTAAGTTAAAGGTATATATATTGTGTTCACAGGTGAGGAGTTTATAAATTTAGGAGTTAAATGCTTAAGTATAGAAATGGTTGAAAAGATGAAAGTAACATGGTTACCTAAGATATAATAATCTGTGGAGGAAAATACTAAACCAAAATGTATTTCAGGTAGAATTCTACTTTATTCAAAAAGCATTTTATTGGCTCCAGTCCTTCTGCTGAATTTATTTCTGATCTCTATATTTTCAGGCAAATACAGTGACTGCTGATAATAAACACTTAAAATTACTCAACATAAACTTGTCTAAAAAAACAAAAAAAAACAAAAGTACATTAAGGTATATATTTATTAAGTACTCTCAAGAGAAAGAAAAATCCTGCTGCCTTTCCTGGTTTTTTATTCCTTAATGCTTATTGCATTTCCTATTTATTTCTCACTTCATTGTAGGCATTAAGTAGCAGAGATCATAGATGCTTAGGAAATTGTGCCATTAATGGCATGATATATCATGGATTTAAAAGGCTGAGTGAATAAGGGAGCCAGTAACATATTCTATCATTTTTTCCCCTTTAAACTACATAACCAAGATTGTGTTTTTTAAATATATCCATTCATTTATTCAACAAATACTCACACAATTTCCATAAGGAATGTGTGTTTATAATAAGTTTATGTGTGTGTTAGTCTATAATTTAATAATCTCATTTCTGGTTTATCTTTTTTTTTTTTTTTAACTGACCCAAAGCAGTCATGCATAATCATTTAAAGGTGATCTAATGGTTTCCTGTAACTGTGGCTGACACTTCTAACTTTGTTTATCTTAATTACATGTGGTATTACCTTCTACTTCCAGTAAGTTTCTTGCCTGGCTGATGCATTAGTTCTTTTTAATTTTTCAGTGAGGCAATTCAGCTTCCCTCTCAAGAATTGCTCTGTAGAATCAATAGGATTTGGAATCCAGTGGATTGTTAGGTGTGTGGATATATTCCTATGCCCTAAATAAGGTACTGAGTGGGGAGTAAGTTAGGAAATCGGTGAGTGGGCATGGCACTAGGAAAGATAAATAAAGTTTTAGATGTGTGCTTAAGATGTTTATGGGACCTAGATTGAGAAACTGAGGCCCTATTAGAGATTTTGAATGACAAAATGGCAAATATAATTTGAAGATTAGTCAGATGAAAATTTCCTCTAGTATCCTTTTTTGTCTCCCTTGTTATCTTTGGGTTTCCCTAGAGATTCCTTTTTAAATAAGTTCTTTCATTTGTATTACCCTTTATTAAACAGGAGCCCTATTGATATGTAGGTAAACTCTAGGGAAGGGAATGTGTTTTATAATACTCTAATTAGGTCTCAGGCTTTCATGAAGCTACTGTCTCTGGGTTGTGACCTTCTCAGGTGCTTCTTAGCGTCTGCCCCTTAGATGGGACCGGAAGGCTGGAGGGAGCCAGAGTTGGGCTTTTCCCTTCCCCTGGGTCATTTAGGCTCGGGTAAAATACTTCCCGTGAGTGGAGGCTTTGTTAAGGAGAACAGGATGATCCGGGCATATTTGTAAATGCCTGGTTTTCCATTTTCTCTGGTGGAAGAAGGTATTTTTTAAGACCTTTATGATGTTCAAAGTACTTTAAGATATATAGTTGATATATAGTTGTCTAAACATATCTTAATTTAGACATGTAGCTATTTCCTGTGCTGTTTATTCAATCCAATATTTTCTCCCTTTTAGATAGTGTTTTAGTCTGTTTCCCTTTAATATGATTATTCATATGGTTGGGTTTATTTCTAGTTGTCCTGCCTGCTCTGTATTTCTCTTTTTCCTTTTCTGACTTCTCTGGGTTAAATATTTTTAACATTTCATTTTAATACCTTTCTTGAATTTTACCTTTTGAATTATTTTGTTTATTGCTCGAGGGACTTTTATCTGCATTCCTAATTTATAACAGTTTAGAGTCAATATTGTACAATTTTATAGAAAATGTAAGAACTTTGCAAAAGTGTGATTTATTTACCTTATGTATCTTGTACCATTGTTATATATTTTATGTCTACATTTATAATAAGTTATACAATATAATGTTATTTGGTTAATTGTCTTTTAAACATATGAAAAGAGCTGAGACCGGTTTGGCTCAATGGATGGAGCGTCGGCTTGGGGACTGAAGGGTCCCGGGTTCGATTCCGGTCAAGGGCATGTACCTTGGTTGCGGGCATATCCCCAGTAGGGGGTGTGCAAGAGGCAGCTGATCGATGACTCTCTCTCATCGATGTTTCTAACTCTCTATCTCTCTCCCTTCCTCTCTGTACAAAAACAATAAAATATATTAAACATATGAAAAGAAGCAAAAAAAAAAATCTTTTGTATTTACCACATTTTACCATAATTAATGCTCTTTATTCCTTCCTGTAGATTTGTTTTTCTTCTATATTTTGGTTTTTAGCAGGTTGTTCTCCAGTGTAGTTCTCTTTGTATTTATCTTGCTTTTAAGTCCTTTCAGTAAATATCTATTTCAAATAATATACTTTCCTATTCTAGGATTTCAGTTGAGAATACATTGTTTGTATTTCTCTGACTATTCACTTTGACTGTATTTTCCTTTAAGTCCTTGAATGTATTTATAGTAATTACTTTAAAGTCCTGTCTGCTATTTACAGTTCTGGATCATCCTGTGGGTCTATTTCTATCAACTTCTGTTTCTTCATTATAAATCATATTCTTCTGCTTTGCATATTTAGTTATTGTTTATTATATAGTGCATATTGATACATCTCAAGGAGTATCTTTTAAAAGAGTGTTAAGTTTTATTCTAGATAATTAAAATAATTGGTGGGTCCTTTTATTTATGTTAATTTGGTTTTAGCATCTTTTAATTCTTTCCTTAATTCATCAATGTGGCATATTGAGGTCTTTAACTAAATCCCCAAGGTGATCAATGTCAAATCTCACTTACTCCAGACTCCAGCACCTCTCAACACTTACTCATCTTTATGATCCCTCAGCACTTACCATTCCTTAAATATAGTAAGTTTAATTTTATTTAATTAAATTCAATAAACAGTAGGGTGGCTTTAATGGATCTGTTTGCATAGAGAAATATCATTTGGCCCTAAATCTAAGTTTGTACATTGCTAAGTCTCATGTAGTGAGTTCATTTCAGAAGCTAGATTGTGAGTAGGAAATTTGGGCAATGTCAATAATCTCTAGTTATAATAACTCTGGATCACTTTTAGAGTTTACAAAGATTTTAAAATATTTTATCTTGTATAAATATCGCAGCTATGTTAATAAGAAGGTTTTCTTATCTCCATTTTGCTCTTGAGGTAACAAGATACAGTGATCTAGTGGAATGCTCATCCTTTATGATAAATAGGTAATATGCAAATTGACCTCATGCCATAACACCGTCACAAGATGGCAGCACACACAGCAGGGGCAGGGCCAGCACCCACTCCACACGCCATCCATCCGGGTTCCTGCAGTCCAGTGGGGGCTCAGGGGTCCCAGCGGCCACTTTGTGAGACTTCTGCTGGGGTTTCCTCGGCTTCATGTGCGCACTGCAGGGGAGGGGCGGGGCAGCCACTGCATGCAGCCTGGAGGCAGGGCATTGGGGCAGCACTCCAGGACTCAAGGCCAACCTGCTGCGTGCCAGCCATGTAGAGTAGGACTCCGGGACTTGAGGTGGTCCCTTAGCACAGCAAGATTGAGGGGTCCTGGGTCTCATGCAATTTCCAGCAACAGGTCACTAGTTATTATATGTTAGTAACTGGTATTTGGAGTCCAAATGCAGTACTTTTCACTATACAAGATAGTGTATTATTTTGTTTACAAAAGTAAGTTTTTGTAGGTCAGAACAATTCCATATGTGTAGTTTCAAATGGTTCAATCTAGTAGCTTCATCAGTTCAGTTCTGATTTCCTCAGAAGCTTATTTTTAACTACAAAAATGGCAATAACTGATAGTAGATAAAACCCTCAAGTAAAATACTAGCCATTTTTCATTTGTGTGAGCCCTTTCTCAGTGATAAGCAAATAAAATTTTGATTTAAAAAAAAGTTTAACCTAGTCCTACCTAATAAAAGAGTAATATGCAAATTAACCATCACTCTGCTACACCCACAAGCCACGCCCACCATCCAATTGGAGCAAATATGCAAATAAACCAACCAAGATGGCTGCGGCCACAGAGAGCAGGAGGGAGGCTTGGGTTTTTACAAAAAGACAGCTCTAAATGCATGAGGATATAGAAACTAAGATTTAGAGGCATTATTTCGGTCAGATTCACAAAGTACTTCACAAAGCTTGGAATGAATCCTGGGAAACCATAATCCAGTGTACATGCTTTATTCACAATGCTTGTTTGTCTTACTTTCTTCATCTTCAGCAGAAGTTAGGAAGGTTACAATACCTGTCTACTAGAATCATTGTAAGAATTAAATGAGCTAAGTGAAAGAATACAATGCCTGGCACATAACAGATGCTCAGAAAGTGTGCAATTTCCCCCTTTCCTCCAAGGATTTTCCACCTTACAAAAAAGCAGGCAATTCTAAATGCATGGCTCATGTACCATCCACAGAATTTGAGTGGCTGTTTTCCCCTTTATATATACGGAGTGGCCAGATTATGATCTCTGAACTCATAATAAGCTGGCCACTCAGTGTGTGTGTGTGTGTGTGTGTGTGTGTGTGTGTGTGTGTGTGTTAGAGGCCCAGTGCATGGAATTTGTGCATGGGTGAGTTCCAGCCAGCCTGGCCAAGAGGAGGGGATATGGGCAGTTGGCCAGCCTTCCTATTGGTGGAACTTCTGGTCAAGGGGACAATTTGCATATTAGCCTTCACTGATTGGCCAGATTACTATGCATTCAGAGATCATAATAATCTGGCCAATCAGTGTATCTATGCATTTCTTATTTCAAAAGAGAAATTGAGACTTTATCTCTTTGTAATTTAAAACACATGCTCAATTTTTCTACATTGCCTATCTGAACTGACACACGTGGACTTTCACAGAGGAATTGAGAATATCTGCCATTTACTGATGTTAGGAATACAGAAATGGAAAAGCTAGTCCATGCTAAACTTCTTTATCCTAGTCAACTTGCTGAATTTCTACTGCCCCTCTGTGATGTCACCACTCCCTCTACAGGACTGGCTTACTCTTCATCAGAATAGTGACCTCCCAAAGAGCTGCTTGCCATCATAACATATCAGCAAAATGTAACATTGTACCTGTTTGGAATATGTATTACTTTTTAAAACTATGCTTATATTTCAAATCTGAAAAAGAAAAGGAAATCTTCTATGAAATTTTTTTAATCAAGTTCATTTAATCTTTATTTAAACCTTTCTGCATTTAACTCATTATTTTTAAAAGGAGAAGTACTGAATTGAGATTTTAATAAATTTTTCCCTGATTATTTTATATCTTCTTTAATAACTGGAAATGAAACTTTTAGTACATTTTACTAGAAGTCATAATGAATCACCTTCTGAATCTTTTGCCTGCCCACTCCCAAATTCCTCAACCTCAATTTTACTTTGGAAAAGTAAAACTATAATCAGAATATATGAAGCAGATTCTTAAGTAGGAGCTATGTTATATCCATGATGTTTAATCAATTATATACTGAATTTAATTAATTATATACTGAAATATACCTATATGTGTAAATGTGTGTATATATATATATATATATATATATATATATGTGTGTGTGTGTGTGTGTGTGTGTGTGTGTGTGTTGATAGTACCAAATGAAACACACATAGATATATGCATGAATTGACATATGCAAATATATATTAATATGTGTGTTTATAATACAAAATACCCCTAACATTTCAGTTAAAAATATGTTAATTAATGCATACATGATTTTTTTGTTGAAATCTTTTCTAATTAGTTATAATTTTAGCCATGTTTCAATATATGCAGTTAGGAAAGGTTGTGTTTTTTTAATAAACATAGCAATCCAAATTTTATATATTTTTTTTCAATTTTCTATCTAGAAATTGACATTGAACGTTGTGTACGAGAATCAATCAACCTGTTTTGTTGGACTCCTAAAAGTGCTACTTACAGACAGCATGCTCAACTTCCAAAGCCAACTTCTGATAACAGTGGAGTCAGAAGTTCAACATCTTATTTCTCGGAGCGTCCAGATACTCCAAAAACAGATCTGGTTTGTATTTGAAGATTTATGAATTCTAAAAAATGTATGTTAAAGTTAATAAACTGCAGTATTGTTATTGCTCCTAATAATATCACTTAGGTCCTTTTAACATAGCTATTTTCTAATATTTGACTTTATTCATGCAACTATTTCAGAAAATTTTTGTGTCTATTTGGTTATATGGGTAGAAAGATTGGTTTAACATATTTCTTTAAGTAACAAGTTTCATTTTTTTTCTATGCAATCATATCTGTTTATATATCAGTTTGTTTTATACTGAGAAAATTACAGAAAGCAAAGAAAGAATTATAAAAATAAAGACTTAAGAGTTGTTGATAAAATAAGAATATACACTTACTGATTGTTGAATGACAAAAGAAATAGCTACTTAATAAAAAAATTACTTACTGTATTTATGAATTCTCACTTAAGGATATTTTTCATTGATTTTTAGAGTGGAAGGGAGGGGGAGAAACAGAGAGAAAGAAACAACTGACTGTATTTGATTTGCTAGTATTTCTGGTATTGAATTTTTTCATCTATGTTGATAGATGAGATAAACCTATAATTTTCTTTTCATCTGTCCTTGTCAGTTTTTGATCTTAAAATTATATTTCTTCTTTTTTCTGCTGTGTAATCAATTTGTATAAAAATTGATTTTTATATTTTTCTTATAAAGTTTCTTATAGAGTAAAAAGCTTATCTATAAAACTATCTGACACCAATGTCTTTTAATCAGAGAGATATTTAATTATTCTTCTGAGTCAGTTTTTACATCTGAGAGGTTTTTTAATATCCATTTAACTACCATGCTTACTTTATCAAAATCCTATTTTAAAGTATTTATTTTTCTAATTCTTATATTCTTATAATTCTTTATACAAAATAGCTTTTTTATTTTTTTGCATTTTATCTGAAATTTTGTCCCTCTTTTCTCCTAATTTTGTTTATTTGAAGTTTTCTTGGTATGATAGAAAGTAGGTACAAGAAAATTAATTCATGCATGCCCTATAAAAACATATTCATTAAATTTAGGTTCATCACAATGTAGATTTATATATTATATAGTCTATGTTAGGTTCTATACCAGCTAAAATAATAGCTTTTGTAAAGTGAAACATAAATTACATTCTGTACCTAGTATAATAGAAGTTTGAAAACTTCTATGAGAAGAAAACTTCAGTTAACTTTTAATTTTTACATGCATCTATCATATTTATTCCCTGAAGCAGACCATTGTAGTAGAAAAAGTATGAACTTTGAACTACATGGACTTGGTTTACAATTTCAACCCTATTCCATTTTGGTTTTATACTCTTGAATCATTTATATGACCTCTCTATTTCCCTATTTGTAAAAGTGAGCATAATTATTATAATTCCTACCTTGCAGGGTTGTTTTAAGAATGATATATGTAAAACCCTGGTAATAATCATCATTTCTTTTTTAATAAATGATGGTTAAATGTTTCAACTTTGAAAAATACCCAAGAACTTTATGACAGTGTTTTGTATCTAAAGAATTTGTACAAAAGAAGAGATTTTCTGGTATTCTTCTATTTCCCCTCAGCTATTACTATCACTGCACATTTAGAAGTAAGGGGAGCAAGGGAGAGAGGCTGGCTCTTCAATAAGGAATCTTTCAGGCAGTTTTACCTCGGTAATTTTAGGGTAAGATTTCACTTTGACCTTTGTATCTTAGTTTTAACTATTTTGATCTTGAAGAAACTACAGAATTGCCAAAAGAATTATTTTATCTAGTGCTAGTGTCTATCCAATCGACTTTTCCTGAAGTAGCTAAAACTCTGCTCAACAATCCTACCACTGCTTATTAATTGAAATATATATATATAACATATAATATATTATAACTGACAAATAGAATGAAATAGATTTATTATAGTGAATATATTTTAAAAAAGGATGTGGTCAACACTGGAACTATTTCATGTTTCTTTGTTAAATTATAGTCACCCTATTAATTTATTCAGGACTGGTATAAGTTATATGTACACTATGAATAAACAAGAATTATTTAGTTCTTGATTATGAACACTAGCCTGGAATGTTATTAAATAAAGTAAATTTTATTTTATTTATATAATGTTAACTGCTTGCAGGTACGGTCATAAAGTAAACAAAATGGTCATTTAGTTATCCTCAGTTTACAGTTGTACTTTAAATGTGGATTAACTATAAATTTACTATAGATAAAAACTTTAAAGTACATTTGTATACTGTAGGTTGGAATAGCTTTTAGAAGTCTAATATAAATACCAGTCTACAGTTTAATATATGTAGTAACACCACTGCCTTTTATAGTTTGAATATTTTAAAAATAATACCACAGTGCATCATAATTTTCAGGTACAGTTACATTATTTTATTTTTGAAGAAAGTATTTTTGCCCCCATTTTAGAGTTGAGGAAATTCAGAAGACTACTTAATACAAGTTAAATTTTAAGTTGCCATTTTATCAGTAGTGTACATGCTGTGTTACTCCCTGGTATTTATTGAAATGTAAACATTAATATACATCACTGCAGTCATAAAATTTCAAGCATTTTTTTTTTGTTATTTTCTTCTATTTTCCTAATGCATATTATGCTTGCTATACTCATGCAATCACCAACATTCCTGCTGTTAAATAAGTTGAAATGTTTTTACAATATGGTATAAGGAGAAACAGATATGTTTTACTTATAGATTATGTTGAGATTAGAATGCAAATCTGAAGGAGAGCTAAATACCATCTCCCAAAGTTATTCAGAGCAATAGATGATTCAAGAACAAAAAGTTTAGCTTTGCATCTATTTCCTTTATTGTTTATATTGTAATATCAGTATCCAATGATCTATCGATAAGCAATCTGGAACTTTAAGCAATAGAGTTGATATAATTTTAGTAAAAGATGAAGACTGGAAATCCTTGTAGCTAAATATAGAATTGGTCAGACCTATAAAAGGTAAATAAAATAAAGAAGTTTGATAGAAAGCAGTATCTTTTAAATTTTTTTTTTTATGCCATAAATGTGTATAATGTATTTTAGTACCCACCCTCAGAGTAAAAGTAAGCCAAAAAAAAAGCCAGCATGAGACAATAAGGGGTAGTGGAAATTTTGTGGTAAGATATATAAATAACTCTATTTACTTGGCTAAAATATGAATTTTTCTCTCATAGTCCAACTTTAGATAAGAAAGGCAAAAAAAATTTTAGATTGACATCTTAAGGAACTTATTAAAAATTCAAAGCACACTATCAACAGTTATTTTTATAATTTAGACTCCTATAACAATCAGCTGAGTGGGCCACATGGCAACATACTATTACATAATTTTGTATTTAAAATATTTTTAAACTCTAAACTTGATACCAAATAACAAAGATTAATTTTTGCATAATATATTTTTCACATTTTAAATGACAACATAAACATACAAAGCATTATGTATATATAATACCAACATTGAATTATATGAATAATAATGGAAAAAAGGTATTAGGCAAATAAGCAATCTGAAATATAATGTAAAAATAATTTCTATTTGACTTTAGTATATATTTCATATACTCTGTGTACAGGTCTACTAATAAAATTTGGATAGTCTTTAGAGAATTTACTTTTTTAATAGTGGAAGGAAAGAAAGCATTGTTGAGTACTGATTTAAGAAGAAACAAACAGCAGCTGATTCCATTTCTCAAGGGCATTTTTTATTTATTTTTACTACTAGAGGTTTGGTGCATGAAATCGTGCACCAGTGGGGTCCTTTAGCCTGGCCTGTGGGATCGGGCCCAAGCTGGCTCTCTGACATCCCCCAAGAGGTCCCAGATTGAGAGAGGGTGCAGGCCAAGCCGAGGGACCCCACTGGTGCACGATTGGGGCTAGGAGGGACACAGGAGGTTGGCCAGCTGGGGAGGGACCAAGGGAGGGCTCGAGGGCATGTTCAGCAAATCTCGTTCAGTCCTGATCAACCAGACCCCAGCAGCAAGCTAACCTTTTGGTCAAACAGTCTTCCCTCTGGTGGTCAGTGCACATCATAGCAAACCATTGAGCAGTCTTAGTATATCATTAGCATATTAGGCTTTGATTGCTTGAACAGCTGACTGGTCGACAGGACACTTAGCATATTAGGCTTTTATTATATAGGATATATTCAAAGTACTGCTGAATTTATAACATATGAAAAGAATTCAGTAAATAATTTGGAAATTTATAATTTTGAACATCTTTGGCATAGAATGTTTGCTTCCTCTCAAATCTTCTATAAAAGTAGAGGATTTTCTTTATGGACAGCAGTAGAAAGGCAGTTGCTTTTTTGATCACAAAAAAAAAAATCAAATTTTAATGGGTAAAGGTTAAAGTTGGTGGTGTATGGGCAGGCTAAATAGATATCTTAGATGGTAATTAAAGAAAATTAAATTTATTTAAGAAAAAGGGTATGGGAGATGAGGATATCCTAAGGGAAGGACTACACAGAAAAAAGGGGCCATGGAGACAGGTTCAGGATTTAGCCAGGGATAAGCTGCTGCTGCCTATTGCTCCCTTGGTAGCAAATCGTGTGGGGTCTCTTGAGGTTAGGGAATACATGGTTATGGAGGAATGGCACAGCATGCTCCTTGGAGGGAGAGCAAACACTGGGACCTATGTCCTGGAAATCTGAGGGGAAGTGTCAGGGGAGTGTCTTAATAGAATATTCATCAGCTTTCCAGGTGTGCTCTATCAGGATCCTGGTTGCACTGATTGGTTGGTGCCAGGGCAGGAGGTCATTAATCAATGTAGCTGGTCCTGAGGCAGCCATGGCGCCACATGTCTGGTTTTGCTGCTTTTCTGGCCATGGAGATGAAATATAACTGAGGCTTAAATGTTATCATTAGGGAGGAAAAGGTCAGGCATCTAAACCACCTGACCAGCTATATGAAAGATCTAGGGTCCAAACTACATGACCAGCAATATGCTGGGGGAGGATAGGTTAGTCTGCAGGTGCGGTTCTTGTTTTCCCACTTTTGCCC